AAAATAACACAAAGACTAGTATTTGCAAGGAAATGAAGAATACTAAGATTTTATTCACACACATGAGAGTAGGAGAGTAAAGAAGAGGGAGTCGATTACCTTGAGAAAACAATTAGTAATTCTTTCAAGGAAGTATCTCTGCATGGAAGATGCATATTGACTTTTATACTACCTTCAACGTTAAATGCATGAGGACACTTGTCATCTGAGGATAAGAAGGCAATGGTTGACTTGACCATTGTTGATATCTCATTTTTATCGTACACAACATTGTTCATGCAGAGACAAACTTTTACATAAATGTGGTCAGTCTGTAAGAAAATCTTCTTTGGATGAATTAGTAGCTTCAAACAGCTACTCACAAATCTTTGGTGAATGAAGATCTTCCTTCAATCGGCTTGTAGCTTCAAAATATTTTCAATTTTCATATTAGCTACTCTGGAGTCTTGGTGTGTAAATTAGACAACTGATACACAGTACTGCAGCGGTGACCTTCTGTTTTCACATTGGCTAGTCTTTGATTTTGCTAATGACTTTAAGTATGTATCAAACCACCAATATACAAAGAAACCAATAACTACTAAATGTTGATAGGATAGAGGAACATATCAGTGAGTCATCATCAAATCAACAGGTGACCAACAGAAATTTTGAAATCTTTTATTATGACTAGTCGTGTATCCGCGCAATGCGGCGGGAGCCATGAATTTTAACGATTTTGAAGTTCTACTGGTTTTATAAGATAATATTTAACGATGATATAGGTTACACATGGTCTTTACATATTAATACAATTTGAATAAATAAGAGTTATGGTTCCAATTACATACTATCGATGAAAAAAATTGTATGATAATTTAAAATCCAATATATTTAAAATCTAACATATTTAAACGACTCCACAAATGTGTTCGATTTACACCAAAAGCAAAGAACCAAGAAACTTGAGTTTTAAGATAAACACTCAAAACCAATAAAGAAAACTACAAATTTGACAGACCATAAACTATGAAAAGACGAAAAAGATGGGTTTTAGAATGAAATTTCAATTGCTTACCCTCTTTCTTGTCCAGAAACTCAAATTAAGGTTCAATTAATACATGTATATATATATATATATATATATAAACTCAAGAATATATTAAAATCAGAACATATTATACAGTGCAATTTGGATAGCCTAACCCCAAAATAAATAATATATATATAAATAAATAACTATAAAAGTATAAATCGAAAATACTAAAAATATTTTTTTTACAGTATATATAATATATAATAATATAATAAAGTCAAAAACTATTTAATATTGGACTCATTTCGAAGGTATTAACGAGACGATTATACTGGTGTAACCTGTTAAAATAAATTAAAATGTATTTTTTAAACATGTTTTAATTGATATACGATTATGTATGTTAATTTGATAAATGTTTAAAATGAAACATTTAAAAGTAAAGGACGTAAAGTAATTAATTAACTAATTATAGAGGTATAAAGTGTAAATTTAAAATTATAATTTTAAAAAAATCGGTTGTGAGAGGGTAAGTGTATGTGAGGAGAGGATGAGATGAAAAAGTGAAAAAGTGAAATGATGGTATAAATGGTATTTTGGTCATTTAATATTTTAAAACTTTAATACTTTTGTTAAATTTGCTTAATAAAATAGTATAGATAAATTATTCAAAACCTTCTCCAAAATGAAGAATCTATTGGAGATGAACATAAATCTTTTTTGATTATCCATTTTAAAATCCGTTGGAGATGCTCTCAAGATCTAATAATACAATATATTTTTAAATTTTTTTGGGGTTATGCATTAATAATATTCCATGTCATTGTTGATTTTTCATAATAACAACCGAGTTGTTACAAGTCTAAAATGCATAAAATGATCATTTACCACACTAATACGTGCTACTTAACCTAGTTGTGGCATATGGTCCAATTTGTGTCTGATCAAGCTCCAAAACCTAATGGTTGTGGGTTCAACACAGAATGTTGACAAAGTAGTTCGTACTTTCTTAATTTATGCATTATAGATAATCCATCACATATGCCACGTGACATTAAATCCAACTTTTAATCATCTATGGACCAACGCAAAATGTCGGCATAGACAATCCTATTCGAGTATTAGACACACGACCGTTAAGTTCACATACTCTACTGTCGATTTACTTAATTAAATACAAGTACATTGACGACAAGTCACTGGTGTCACCATTATAATTGTTTTATAAGTACAAGAGTACCAGGTACAAACTCCATCCAACCTTTGCAAATGTTCCATTACACCTCACTAATTTTCTATTGTTATGATAATAACAACCCCTAGCTATAAACCACAAGGGTGGTACCTGATTAGTTTGAGTTTAGCTCCAAAGGTTAAAAGTACCTGGAGGTCCCATTTTCAAATCCAAGAAGGAATAAAAATCCCCTTGTGGCCACAGAGATTCAAATGCGGTGACTCCAGACTATCTGCAAAACAGGTGGTCACGCTAGGATTATGGCTCSCATAGCAGGTTGGATATCCAGGTTAATCAAAAAAAAAAAAAAAACAACCCCTGGCTATAACAATTAACATAACTCGATTTTTACAGCAACTTCATAAGACTCTTTTCAGAAATTGTCTTACACAAAAACCAATAAGACAATTACTTCTAGAGTCCTATTACATTCTCCAACTTTATTTAAACGTTTTATTGTGATGCATTTGTATAAAACATAAAATTGTTAATCTTGAACTTGAAAGTCTCGTTAAATACAGATTTATCAGGGTTAGTTTCTTACGGTCAGAGAGGGTTGGTACAGATTTAGCTTAGTACAACCCTTCCAAAGAAGGCTTTGAAGTAGAATAAGAAAAAAGTAAACAAAAAAGGCATGAAGGGAGTGAAGTAGGTAAGTGCATAGACTATTCAAACTTGAAGCCAAGGTCATGAAATGATTGAAGAGGGTTCAACAACCAATAGCAAGAAATGCATGATCCAACTTAACCCACATGCACCATAGAATCCAAAGAAACTTTCAAAACACAATTTAGATTTTGTGGCAGGTTGTGGGTACAAAACTTGTGTGTGTGTGTGTGGGGAATTTTCCACTTATTTCTAAAGGCCAAGCTCCCTTTGTGTTGGGTGAAATATTGGTGTGTTCAAGATCTCTTTATACACTTTTGTATTTTAAAAACCTTCACATGAAAGATATAACTTTTTAATATATGGTCTAAAATAAATGTTCGATTTGATGTATTATCTATGCCTCACGTACTTGAAAACCCTCATTTACTTCGACACGTAAACAAATTTCAATACGAAATCCAACCTCCGTATCTATAACGACATCTAAAAAGTTTTGGCATCTAATGAGTATATGTTTCACTCGAACAATACAAATGGAAATAATAACTTGTAACTTCATTTTAAATCGTATTTTTTACGCCTTGATAAATATATACAAATAAAAGCTTGGGACTTGAGCCACCATCAGAATTGTAGTAATGAATGGAACAACTAACTTGTTTATGACAAAGAGGCAAAAAAGAAAGCATTTATAGCATATATGGAAAAAGTCAAAGACTTGGTGTAACTTGAAATCAAACAGCCCTTTAATTGTTTCTAGGGTATGCATTTCCAGTTACAGTATATATAAACCAGCTTCACACCAACTGCTGGCTTGCATTTTAGACAACAATATTAATGATGGCATGCACATATAGCCATAGGTTGTGTGGAGCCTTTCTCATATCCACACTTCAGACTGATAGCAATGGCTGAGAAATGGTGAAATTCTTTATAACATGCTCACACATTCCAATGCTTTTTTAAAAATTCAAATTTTTGCATCTTTATCTTATGTTAATATTTAATTAAACAGATTTGAATCACGATATCTGTTGCTTCAAATTATGAGTTCAAGTGGACATGTTCGTTTCAAAGTTATTTTACTACATGGGTTTTCAGAGTTTTTAAAAAGCTAATTAAAAAACAAACACATAAGGATTTATGTTCATCTATATATGTATATGTATATATATATATATATATATATATATATATAGACTTATCTTTTGGCAATATTAAATTCTTGTAGGCATGGGTCATGTATCTTCCCAAATTAAGTAAATTGGATAACTCAAAACATTGAAGAACTTGATACAAAGTATGCACTGCCCAATACATACATACATATATATATATATATACATACATATATATATATATATATATATATTGATTGCAGTGAATATGGTTTTCTTGAATATAAGTTTTTTAATTCATTTATATAAAGTTATATAAAAAATGGATTAGAAGGTGTTGAGAATGAAGATCTACAAGGTGGTCACCAACACTGGCAACAGATTGACCTAACAAGTTGGTAACCTAGGAAGAAAACATCATATGAACAATTAACGTTATCTAACTCAACTTAATTATAGTATTAGTTTAGTTAATTATGAATTAGTGGCCAAACAATCAAGACTGGATCTTAACAAGTTACATACATATAAATTATTTAAAAATTACAATATTAATTTTTAGGTGAAAGTCTAAAACCTAATTTTTTTTTAATTATAATTATTAATAAATTATAATAAACTAAATCAAACAATATCTCGTCTAAGAACAAGGTTCTAAGCAGACTTTTTGTACATTTCAAGAAAGTAAATTAACGAACTGTTTTCGAGGAAATCCGAGTTGAAAAAAGGATTAAGAACAAATCATTAATGATATATAAAGTCAAAGAGGGGGGGAGTCAATCAAGATAATTAATGCTTAAAAAGCATTTAATGCCAAGCGGTGTGGGTAACCAAATGCTGTGATCCTCTATTAATTAATTTCACATTAAAAGGAAAAAATAGCAAGAAAACAAAAAAACCAATTTCTTTTGTCAACTTTCCTTTGCACCCTTTTAGTTAATCCTATAAATTCTGCTCTTCATTTCTTCCAATATTCCTTCATTCCATACCTCTCTCTCTCTAGATCTCTCTCTCTCTCACACAGATGGATTTCTTAATGGTGTTTCTCAAGTTAGCAGACTGGTTAGTCTACCAGCTGCTAGGTAATTCGTGTTACAGAGCTGCAATGAAGGTCAAAAACCATCGTTTTTTCTGGTTAAGAAACCACCCATCTCACAAGTCACCATACCACCAGCTTCCATTGTTTCCTAGCTTCACTAAATGTTGTTTAACTAAAGAACAACCTCAAACTGTAGTCTGTGACATTCAAAACACCCTGCTTCTAAACTCAAAGTCTTTCTTTCCGTACTTCATGTTGGTTGCCTTTGAAGGTGGTAGCATAGTCAGGGCATTCGTCTTGTTATTATCCTATCCTCTGTTACTTGTTTTAGACTATGAACTTGGTCTAAGGCTAATGATCTTTATCACCTTTTGTGGGCTTAAGTTGAAGGACATGAAGAATGTTGGAAGGTCAGTTTTGCCAAAGTTTTATCTTGAGAATTTAAACCTTCAAGTTCTTGAGTTGTTTGAAACAAGAAGGAAGTCTGAAACGAAGGTTATCATCTTTACAAGTCTTCCAAGAGTGATGGTTGAAGGTTTTTGTAAGGAATATCTGAGTATTGATCATGTGATTGGGACTGAGTTGCATAGTTTTGGGAGATACTTCAGTGGTTTTGTGTCCAGTTCAGGTGTGCTTGTGAAGCATAAAGCAGTAAAAGAATGGTTTGGAATTGACAGAAAACCAGATATTGGTGTTGGAAGTTGTGGTCTTCACGATCAACTCTTTATCTCTCACTGCAAGGTATGTGTGAAACCATTCTTGAATTGCTGTATCCATCTCTTTTATTGTAGCAAATCTCACAAACTCACAGGGTTGTTTATATCATTTCTGTTACCAAATTACTAGCTTGATAACTATTAGAAAAGTGAGTTTCACCGATGCGTCGACGACATGTTTCAGCAATAAGCTGTTGCAATGACATATCGTCTCTATAAACAATATGTGATGATAAATTGACTTTTAGCGACAACAGAAATCGTTGCTAAAACTCCTGTTCTCATGAAGCGATTTCCATTTATCTTTTTTATAATGATTTGATCACAGGAAGCTTATGTGGTGAGCAAAGAAGATGGAAAGAGGAGTGCAAGAACAGTGATGCCAAGAGAAAAGTATCCAAAACCCTTGGTCTTCCATGATGGAAGGCTAGCTTTCTTCCCAACACCATTAGCAACCTTATGCATGTTTCTATGGTTTCCTCTTGGGGTTTTGCTTGCAATTTCCAGGCTTTTTGTGGGCATCTTATTGCCGTACCATATGGCGCGTATCATAGGCGGTCTAACCGGTGTAAATATACGGATAGAAGGTTGTGATTACTCATGGGAGAAGAAAAACAAACAAAATGGTGTTCTCTTTGTTTGCACACATCGAACCCTTTTGGACCCTGTCTTCTTAACCATGACCATTGGTAAGCCGTTAACCGCGGTTACTTATAGCCTAAGCAAGATGTCGGAAGTGATCTCACCCATAAAAACAGTTCGGTTAACTAGAGACAGGAAGCAAGACGGCAAAACCATGCACAAGTTACTTAGCGAAGGCGATTTGGTTGTTTGCCCTGAAGGAACAACTTGTAGGGAGCCTTATTTATTGCGGTTTAGCTCATTGTTCGCAGAGTTAACCGATGAGATTGTGCCGGTTGCGATGAACACACATGTGACCATGTTTTATGGGACAACGGCTAGTGGGCTCAAGTGCTTGGACCCTATCTTCTTCTTGATGAACCCTAGGCCAACTTACCATGTTCAAGTGCTGGGAAAACTGGCTAAGGAGCTGACCTGTGGTGCAGGAGGCAAGTCTAGCCATGATGTGGCTAACCATATTCAAAAAACACTCGCTGCTGCTTTGGGGTTCGAATGCACCAGTCTTACTAGAAGGGATAAATATTTGATGCTGGCTGGGAATCAAGGGATTGTGGAGGATCATAGAAGTCAAAATTAAAGTCTTCATCTTAGCATGATAATATCTTCAAAATTACCAGTATTTTGATGTTTACCATTGATTATTATTTTGAATATATATATTTAAAACTAAGGGTTATGTATTATATATAAAATTGTTTTTATTAATTTTTATTATTTTTCAATTGGTTTTTTTAGATGTGATCATAAAAATGCAATGATGCTTGTGATAAAACAAGAAATGGAAGAGCATTAACATACAATAAGGTATTCGGGTTCAGTTTAATCAAATAAAACCGCGCTAAACACGAACAATTATCATATCCATATTCAATTCGACTCGAGAAGAAGTTTGAATATTCAAGTTACCATGTATCTTATGTAATGTGATTTCTAACATGTCTATATCGAAGGCGTGAACATTTAATCTTACATGATCAATGATCATACATCATATAATGTAACGTTTCCTTTTTACTAAAGGAATCTTAGGGGTGTTTGGTTTACATATTCTGAAGAATACGTTGGTACTGATATATCGGAGTTAGTAAAAGTGATCAAGTGTTACTCAGACTTAGTAATTAAAAGGAATTAAACTTGGTAAAAGTGATGACGTGTTATTCTGATTTAGAGCTCCTAACTCTGGACAAGCTATTCCATATCTCTAGACTAACTCTAGACAAGTTATATATTATAGATCTGGACTAGCTTCGGATAAGCTATATATATATTCATGGGATTATCTCTAGAATGTATATCTCTGAACATTATGTCAAGAAATCTAGACGTGTATGTTTAACAAAATCTTTGTATCTTATCTATCAACGGTTATAACCATTTGTATAAACTGATCTAACTTCTCAAAAACCGTCAATCTTATCCATTTTCAAATGGAACAGACCAGTTTTGGCTTTCTCTTGAAATCTGAATATTATAATATAATAGTCTCTAGTAATTTGACTTTCATTTTTGTTCCTAAATTCGAAAGTGTCCTTAAGGATTATCCTAAAGTGAATATCGTGATACCCAAGCATAGGGTCGAAATATCAACTCGGAAAGTGAACTTATACGATTCTTAAGCAATCCAGATTCCGATTACCATTTACCTTGTAATCTTATTTTTTCTAACACAATAAGAGGGAATTGATTCAAAAAATGGAAGGAATCCAATTCGAATGCAAAGAAAGGGATTTTGGTTGATAGATTTGATTGGATTAGATTTTGAGAAGGATTTAGAATCTTTGATATGTTTGCTTTATAAGATTTAATAAAATTGAATTTCATTATTTATAAATAAAGTTATAGATAATTATAAAAACAATTAAATTACTTTTTATTAATTGTTATTAAGAACAACAAATTTTTATTAATTTCTATTACTTAATAGATTCCATTTCGTTGTCCATTCTTTGGTTTTTTTATTTTATTTTTTAATTTGAGGTTATATTTCGTTGCATCATCAAATTATGAAAAAATAACTAAAATAATAAATAATTTTACTACATTATAAAAACCAAAAAACAAATTTCAGCATCTTTGATTGAGATTTCATTCTCTCTCCTACCAAACAAACTCAATCAAACTTAAATCAATTTTACTACAATTTATTCATATTAATGTTAATCTTGTAATACATCTTTGATTGAGATTTCATTCTCTCTCCTACCAAACAAACTCAATCAAACTTAAATCAATTTTACTACAATTTATTCATATTAATGTTAATCTTGTAATACATCTTTGATTGAGATTTCATTCTCTCTCCTACCAAACAAACTCAATCAAACTTAAATCAATTTTACTACAATTTATTCATATTAATGTTAATCTTGTAATACATCTTTGATTGAGATTTCATTCTCTCTCCTACCAAACAAACTCAATCAAACTTAAATCAATTTTACTACAATTTATTCATATTAATGTTAATCTTGTAATACATCTTTGATTGAGATTTCATTCTCTCTCCTACCAAACAAACTCAATCAAACTTAAATCAATTTTACTACAATTTATTCATATTAATGTTAATCTTGTAATACATCTTTGATTGAGATTTCATTCTCTCTCCTACCAAACAAACTCAATCAAACTTAAATCAATTTTACTACAATTTATTCATATTAATGTTAATCTTGTAATACAACAAGATAAATCTTAATTATAATGTTTAGTTTTTATTATGTCTTTATCAATACGATTTTATGTAGTTTTCAGAAAACGATAATATTTTTATCTTTAAATGAAATATAAAATTAAAAATATCATAAAAATTTGAAAAAAATAAATCGATATTAGTATCAAATTAACTAGTTAATAGTTCTCATTTTTTTGGCGTAACTTCTTTAATTCATTTTATATTACAAGTTTATTTAGATTTAATAATAAAGTTAATTTAATTTTGATTTAATAATATAATTTTTATAAAGACAATAATTAAATATTCTGTTAGAACTTAATGATTATCTTAATTATATTTTAGATTTTTTATATTT